TATTTACAAATTTCAATAAAAAGAAGTTTTTCTCTTCGTTTTTTTTTTAAAAAGACTCTAAAGTTTATTTATGGCATCGACGACAAGAACGTCCTATAATGGTATTTTCAGGTCATTCACGTACAGTTAATTGTGTTTCATGGCATCCAACATCACCATTAGTTTTTGCATCAGCGTCTGATGATACAACTGTTCGAATTTGGTCTACACCTGAACATCATACAAAAATAGGTTTGTTGAGAATTTTAATTTTTTTTTTTTTTGCTAGTAAATAATTTTCATATCTTCTAGAATTATTGTCAAGCAATGAATCATCATCTTGATAACAATTAATTTATTTTATCTAAAACGCTCATATTTTGTTGGTATATATATACACTTAAACATAGACTTTTCTTATTCTTAGTTCTTTTTTCTTGTCTATGTTTGTGTGTTACATCTGTTCGTTTATTTGTCGTTGTTGTTTACACACCTACACAAGCATTTTCTTTTTATCGCATCGTATAGGAAAAACAAAAACAAAAATCAACCATTGAAAATCATTTTTTTTCTTTTGCTCTCTTAATGTTTATATATATATATATACGTGAAAAAACGAAACATTTGGAAACAGAGCTATTCTCATTTATCTTTACTCTTGAATTTAAACGGGAAAAAAAAATGGAAAAATAAGTTTTGAAAATTCTTTTTCTTTTTCTTTTTGTTTTGGATATGCCATATTGTTCGATTTCTTTTTTTTTGCTTCTTATTTCATTGACGTCTTTTGTGTACACATAAACATTTCTTGTTTTTTCTTTTTGCTCTTTCCTCTTTTTTTAAATTCTATATTTGTGCTGTACTGTCTCTTTGAATACGTATGCATAAAGACCAGAAGAATTTGCTATTGCTCTTTTTTTTTTCATTGCTGAGCTTTTCCATTAGGTTTCTTCTATAAAAAGAAAAAAAAATATATATATATATAAGTATCTTTCAATCAATCGACATGCTATTCTGATCTATCAAGCATATGTATTGTATTTAGACTCCATCGGATCCGATAGGCTTTTAATTACTGTAAGAAAAGATAATGGATGATTTGGCGAAAGTTTTGCATTGATTTTTTTGTTTTCACTATAGCGTGAAAACAATTAGTCGTGAAGACTCGACAGAAAATGTCTTACAATCGACTTTTGAAAATTTTAAGTATTTTATATTTGAGTATCACCAATGTGATGTTGATATTAGAATATTTGATTTACAAAACCAATAGATTGCATTAAGTAGTATGAATGTTACTGAAGTGAAATAGAGTTAACTATATAACTAAAAATAGTAATTGATCTGACTCTTTGAAATTGATCAGCGAACATTTTATTTGTGAAAATTTATGTTAATAAATGATAGTCTTCAAGAAGTTGGAGTATCTAAGAACGAATCTTGTTCTCATAAATCAAAAGAATTATACTTTTAATAGCGTCAGTCTAATTTGGACCGAGCTTTAATAGAGTAGAAGCCGGACTGGGGTATTAAAAAGTGGGTCGATTTCGAGGCCTGATGTCTAATAGAAAAAATGTATTCTGTTTTATATAGAGGACTTACTAACTTCTAATTGTACATAAAATATGGAATTTCACTAACTTCGATTGTTGGAAAAAATCTTATTGTTCGAAATTATTTATGTGCTGTGAATACTTTTCGCTAGCAAAGACCGTTATAAAGATGTCAATTTCGAACTTAACCGATAGCTGGAAAAATATGATTTTTATCTGTTTACAATGTCCTATCGCAGTGGTACAAACTCCGATAACACACGGAAAATAAAACGAACTTTCTTAGTGGATGAAGATTTTCTTCTAAAGATTCAGAAGTGTATAGAGAAATTTCCAAATCAAACATGTTCCTAAAAGTTTTCAGCCTTCGACAAGTATTTTGAACGAAATATCTTTACACAGTTTTGCAGTAGAGACTTTGTTCTTTCTAACAAGAAAACTATCAAATCACAACAAGGGATTATTGTCACGCTATACCAAAAACAAAAAATGAATGCAGAACTTTTCAATTGCTCGTTATTTTTACATAAGTTTTTTGTTGCAGAAATTCAAGTTCTACAAGTTGATTTTGAAATCAGCTGATGCAAGTATGAGAACAAATGAAGGCACTAGTTTTGATAAATAAAACAATTGAGAAGATATGCTTCTCATAAGTATTATGAAGTAAAGTTCGTGTGACTCAGCCAAATCGAATTGTTTCTATAGCAAAACACAGGTTTCATTCAAATGATAAGCTTTTACATAATAATGTTATTGTACAGTTCTTTTTACACTATCGTGATCAATATGTGACGAGTGTTTACCTTCTCTTAATGATTCATTAGTTGAGAAAATCATATTAATGATATTCTGCTTGCAGAAGGATACTGTTCATAAGTCTTTTTTTATCGAAAAACTTAATTATTTAAGATATGAAGCAAAGTTTGTATCTCAGATGTTCTTTTAGAGATCGTCAATCATTAATATTTATTGAGATTATTTACGAAAACCAGAATAATATCAATCGATGTATGTCAAATAACTATTATAATGTCATCTGTCATTTTTTGAATAAATTTGATCAGTCCATTATAACAATTGTTGAAAGAACAACGAATTATTCAAAGCTATGAAAGTTTTTTGCTTATGTGAAATGTCATGGTGACAATTTCTTTTTCGTTAGAAGCTTTTGAAAATATACTTCTTCATGTCGTTTGCCATGTTTTCAAGGACTGATGGATATTGGTATCTATTTTCTTCTTGTAGAATCTGACGATAGTTTTTTTCCGTAAACCGATTACCTACAGTGTTTCCAGTTGATGTCCGACGCAAATTTCTAGTATAGGAACATGTTGGATTATATAAAATCCAATTGGTTCCAGTCGTCGAATCTCATCATTTCTAACAATATAGATTTGGATAGAATCAATCATAGTATACAGCAGGACTTTGAACTCATTCAACTTGATTCGGTCAAGCAAAATTGATCTCAACTGATGAAACAATAACATCTCTGTCAGCATGAGTATCGCATATCATACTCGACTCGATTGTATAGGATCGGCCACAATAGCTTCTAGTACGTTTATAGACTTCAGACACAATAATTATGGACGATAATACGATAGGGAGGTATACTATTCTTTCCAGCTACAGGATACTTTTCTTCAGCTCCATCCAACTTTTGATGACTTTGGTCTAGACTTATAGTAGTCATTAGCTTATGTTTCAGGATTTCTGTCGATCTTTGTATCATTTCCAACAACTTCCTGTGGCCATTATTCTATTTTTGAGAATTTCAAGTTCATTTTTACGGCGACCGGCTGAATCTGTATTTATATAAGGATGTCAGTTCATTTACAGAGTCATGTGCAAGTCCATTTTTTTCTCAATCCATGATACACTCTATTATTTATTTCAAAATATGATGTGTTCCAGTATTTTTTAGAATAACTTTTGATACTAACATCATAGAGACCTACGGTTTTCACTATTCAAGAGAGAGAACTCGAAGCCATCAAAATTTGATTGGTCAGCATATGACCAATTCAATGAACTCGTAATGGAGATTTTTGAAAACAATATTTTGAAGCTATTTTCTTTTCAATTTAGACTCTTAATAGAATTAATTGATAAAAAAAAATTCTCCTCTTTAGAGCTGCGCAAGGCTGACATTTCTAGCTTGTTCTGTACGCTCGATTTCATCCAATTAATCTCTAATCACTCAAAAAAGCAGCTAGGCAGGGATAATCACTATGTCGAATCGAATGATGAGATTTGTTTTTAAATTCAAAATGATCAACTGACCTTCGATAGCCCTTATCTTCTCTCTTGAATGATGAAAACCATAGGTCTCTACGATGTTTCTATCAAAAGTTAGTCAAAAAAAAACAGTGGACCATATTGTATTTTGAAATGGATAGTAACTATTTTTATTTTCTCTAACCTTCTATCACTGATAGCTTCTTTGTTATATGTTTCTCTCTATCATCCATTCTACTCAATAGGATTTCTTCGCTCTATAAACTCGCTTATCAAATGGATTTTTTTCTTCAAGATAATATTTGGGATACAAGAGCATTGAACTTTTGTTATCTGCTGATCGAAGCTCTATAGTGAACTACCTTTAAAGTGGACATAAAACATTCGAAATGAGTCCGAAGAAAGCCATAGTCGAGAAAAAATATCAACGAATGATAATTCTATTGAGTTTGACCTAAACAAAACATGGATTGACATCATTGAAACAAGATAGATTTTCTTTGCTTTTTTTTTACTCGAATTTATTTGAATGATTAAAGAAATTCTGAAAACATGTTTTTCTTTTTCTTTTTCTTTTTTTAAATGTAATATCTGGTTATTTAAAATAGGATGAGTTTTATTAACAAAACTACAGGAGGACGAAAAAAAAAATGAAAACCGATAATGTTAATCTAATGATGAGCTCTATCAGCAGCTTCTTTAGCTTCTTTTAAATATTCTTTTCCAGCTGAAATTGGTTCAATATGTTCATAAACATCATATTTGTCACATAAATATTGTATTATATTTCTAGGTGTCGTAAAATGATCCGAATCAACTTCGGGAATTTCCGTCCAAAATTCATCTTCTACTGCAGCTGTTATTTCTACAATATCTAATGAATCAAGACCAAGATCTTGAACAAATCGTGAATCTAATTTTAATGAATTTGGATCGATTTTATCAAATAAACGTAATAAAAGCATAACACGACTTTCAATCATTGGATATGTATAATGAACATGAGACCAACGACGTGGAATTTCATTTATTAATAATTTACGTTTTTCATTTAAATTCATAAGAGTTGGTTTTATTGATAATGGACGAACTGTTATCATGGGTCTCATTAATGATGCACTACGCATTAAAAGACGTATTGTTGATGAAAGCATTTTTTTATATCTAAAAGTTAATTTATAAATATATTAGTTAATTAAATATTTTATTGGAAATGAGAAAATAAATTAATTAATGTATTGCATCTCTAAGAGTTTTTGCACGTCCGAGAATAAAATGATAAAAAATAAGTGTAACAAGTTTCCCTGTACGATACTCTTCAATTAATGGATTATATTCACTAAGATCCATTAATTTAACTTGTAGAGATTGTCCAGCATAAAAAGCAATATCACATGCTTGTTGAGCAGTAAGACCAACTGTTGCTGGTGCACTAACACCAGGACATGAAGATGAAATAATTGAGTCTACATCAAATGATACAAATATATCACTTTTTTGTTCTTCTGCTGATTTAATAATAGAACGAAAATATGTTAATGGATCATCACGAATTGATTGATACCAAAATATTTGAGTTAATGGAGATTTTGAACGAATATAATTTACATGTTCTATTGAGCATTGAGATCCTTGACTTGCAAATTCAATAAATCGATCTCGAAAAAAAAAATCAGGTTTTATTTTACTTTATTTTTATTAAATTAAAGAAAAAAAGGTAATAATCATACTTGAAGGATTTTGATGAAATCTTTGATCTTCAAGTAATAATCTAAAAGGTGATCCAGAATGAGATTTATTTTCTTTTAATGGTCGAACATCAAGATGTGCATCAATATTAATAACATAAATTGATTTCGAATTATTTAATAAAGCTGAAGCATTAGGATAAGATTGATCATTTCCACCTCCAACAACAAATGGAATTTTTCCTTTTAAAATTAATTGTTGAATACGTTCTTCTAATTGTTGATGAGCTTCTTCTAAAGTTAAATCAGAATTAATATTTCCTCCGTCTGAAATTTTTAAATATTTTCGTATATCTAAATCATCATATTCAGCATTAACAACAGTTCCTGTTCGTTTTAATAGTTGACGAAATGCATTTGGACCATGTTGTGCTCCAACTCGTCCATTATTTCTTCGCACACCTTCATCATATGGAAATCCGATAAGAACTATATCACCACTATCATCATCAACAATTATATCACCCAAACGGATATCATCAGAGCTCATTTTTTTCTTCAAGTAAACATTTGTTTTTTTATCTTTTTGTTCTTATTTGGTTAAATATGGATCTTTTATAGATGTCACTTTTTGTCGTTTGATAATTCTATTTTTCAAAGAAAAACAGAATACTAAACATGCAGAAAAATATTAATTAGAAAATAAAAGAACAAAAATTAGCTCACTCTAAATATTCAACTGACACTTGTCTAAAACCATGTAAACACATAGATTTAGCATTTTTATGATAATTTAAATGATATAGATAAAATTTTGTCTACTATTTTACGCTATGCTAGGTCATTTCGGGCCCTATATATTTATATGAATTGCTTAGACGATATTATTTGAATAAAGTTTGTTGTTGTCTCATGATTTGACGCTATTCATATACTATTGGAAAGAGCTCAGAAAACTGTACTAACTGATGTAACAGTCATTAGACTTTTGCTTCATTCTAAAGTTTTTTAATGACATATATGACTCCCTAGTAGAAATCTATGGTGACCCCACTAACAAGTTCACGGTCTCTTGCATTACAATTGTAAAATCTACGACATTAAATTTTATGTCATTCAATAGAAGTCAAAAAGGTCTATGAAAACAATAATAATTTTCGCCGCTTCCTAATAGGACTTTGGTGATGCGCTCTCATACACTGCTTGCAAATACTACAAATTTTACTAAAATACTCCTATACAGGGTACGTAAAAATATTTTTCGAGGAGTTAACGCTATGATTCCAAATAGTATTCATAACAAATTTTATACCAAATTAAAGCGCATCGAAAATGGAACTTATTGCTGCTAAATAGTAAAGGGTATAACATAATTCAATACAGTTATGAATGTTCTTCAATTTTTTATAATCGATAAGTTTGACTGCAGCTATTTTATAATTAAAAAGGGTCGCTTCCCATACGTCTAGGCCGTTTATTGATAAAATGACATTCCAGTGTGTTCAGTCCTGTGTCACAGGACAATTGACCAACAATGTGAAACTTTCTCAAAAACTGCACACCAGTGGCTTCTACATGTTTGATAGATCGAATCTTTCGGAACAGTAGGGACTGACTGGTAGCGTATGAGATAGTGGTGCAAAATATCCTATTTTAGCTAACTATGGTCCAGGTATATTGACAAAATCTTGACAATATTCAGCACATCTAATAAAAAATTTTATCTATAAATAATCATTGTAGTATGCTTCATCATTTGATATAAATAAGTTCTTTGTAGATTGAAAAAAAATGTTCGACCCCAGATCCCCGAAGAGGATACGAGGACACGGAAAAAATTTTTCTTTACACTGAACAGCAACTCTATATGGATTCTTTTACAGTTTTACCCATACATAATATATGCATGATTGGGAATAAAATTGATAAAAGGATTTCGAAAAAACAGAGGACCATTATTTGGAACCTTATCCCCATACCCCCTCTAGGGCTCTAGGGGTCAAAAATTTTTTTTCAATCTCCAAAGATCTTACTTATATCAAATGATGAGGCAGATTTCACTGATTACTTTTAGATAAAATTTTTTCCTAAGAATACTGAATATTGTTAAGATTTCGTCAATATACCTGGGCCATAATTAGCTAAAATAGGATATTTTGCACCACCATCTCATACGCTACCAGTCAGTCCCTACTGTTCCGGAAGACTCTATCTATCAAACATGTAGAAGCCACCGGTATGCAGTTTTTGAGAAAGTTTCACATTGTTGCTCAATTGTCCTGTGACACAGGACTGACGACAGAAGGTCCCCAAGTGAAGCTCCGCTTTTGACGTGATATTTTGCCCATATGTAGGTGTTAGTGAGACTAGAAAAACTCCAAAAGGTTTTGGGTTTCTATGGCTTCCTTGTTGAGATATAAAGTTCACATCCTCTCTAGCAGTGCTATTATTTATATTGGAATATGATGAAATGCCGATCTTTTCACAACGATATGAAATACAGACTTACAGTTTTTTTTTGCGTGAATCGTATTTCATAGTGGCCATATATGACACACTTTGAGGCTCTAGCAAAGATTTCGAAAGTTAACTCTATATTTTTCACAAGTTCCTGCAGGTACAGAACAGTCTTATTGAGTATATGCTGAAATTCTTATGTATCATGAACAAAAGTGAATACTAACATAAAGTGAACCTAAGCAATGCAACCAGAACAACTGAACTTTCACAATATGCTGAATTAGTCCATATGATAGGCAAGGAAAAAATGTTCAAAACATGACTCTTTTCAACATCAACTACACTTGATAAAAGAAGAGTTGTCGCAATTTTTCTCTTCGCAGACCAACTTTTCCAGACTGAAGCAACTATATTTGACTGTAGAAAAGTGACCAGAATCATCCATTAAATAGCCGCTCGCGTACCAAGCATAATGAATTACAGGAACAAAAAGTTTTGAGGACATTTGATGGTGTACCAAAGACTGAAGTTGAATAATATTGTTTCTGTCCCATAGGTTGATGTTCATTTCGTCAAGCATGACGCGATCGAACACTTTGCGTAAGATCATCTTATGTTATTGATTATAAAAGACATCTCACGGCTGAATCTTTTCAGTCGTCTTTGCTGGAGTAACGAGATGTGTGATACCTTTGACAGATTGGTATAAACAAGGAGCATTCTGGGTAGACCATGAATCGGACAACAAGAGAGTTTTGGCTGTGATACAAGGAATTAGACAACGATCGCGCCAGTACTCAACGAGTGAACTTGTCAGTTTTCCAGAGCTGCTACAAGTCACCACCACATTTTTTGCCTGGAGCAAATTTTGTTCGATACTCTTGCTCATTTTGCCAGTACGCTCTTTCAAGCAGTGGTAGAGAGGTCCAATAACATGACCTGTAGGAAAATGGAAAAATTAGTGTGAGTAGTGTACCAGCTAAAAGAAAAGGACTTATTCGTGCCTTCAAGACTGATCGTTGGTTGAATTGTATATGAATGAGTGCTAGTATTTTTTGAACGAACTAATACGAGTGTTGGTTTTTCGCCCTTATATGATAGTGTTCTTGAGGAATGGACTTCCATCTTGATTCCGACTTGATCGGTATTAAGAACTTCGGAAGAAGAGTAATTTGGAAGGAGTTTGAGAACTTGTTCAATGAATTTATTGGCCGAATCGGTGACTGTATTTTCATCCGTCGTTTCATGTCTTGTGACAATCTATTAAAATTCTGTATAATCATACAAATATATCTTGTTGCATGAACACAAAAATGTTTTGTTATCGTACAGAAGTCTAGAAGAACACTACCTAGAGAAGAATTGTCTGGACTGATTTGTTAACTTGATGCTTTTTTTTTAGCTTACAAATCCTTGTGAAAGATTCTTTCGCATATAGTTGACCTATCGGGTTATACTAAAAAGCTTTTCAATCATATGATAGTTATATGATGTTCTGAATCAATTCTCTAGTCCTCAACAAAACATAAGAATTTTTTACCTTCATGATTTTACGCGAGCATAAACAGTGTCGATGCTTAAAATTCAACAGCCAATAACTAGCAACGAAATTTTGAAGTGAAATATCAGCGGCCTTTTTTATCGCCCAACGTCGAAGATCATTGTCATGAACTGATAAACATTGTTCACGTGCATGTACAAAATGGTCATAAACATAGTCGTCCACTTGATCAAGTTTTTGTTTTTTGGTACTGTCATTTTCTTCTAAATATTTTCGAAACTTCGTGATATAGCCCCTATTCTTGATGCGCTTGTAGCGGCATTGAATACTATGAAAAATCCGCTTACGATATTCCGTTTGTTCATTTCCTTCATCAAAGTAGTCAAGAACTTTTTGCATATATTCTTTAGAAAATTTTGTTAGGTTTGACTTTTTTTCTATCATCTCCCATATCGTAGTCCGAGTCGATAGCAGATTCATCTAATTGGTTTTCTTCAGATTCTTCATAATCCTCTTTATCTCTCAAATCAACATCGAGAGATACTTCCGTCTCAACAAAAAAATCATTGCTTGTAACGATTGAATCCAATACATCGATCAAATAGTCAGCCACTTCATGTTCTTTCGGCGTGCGAGCAGTTGAAGATTTTGGTGTGGCTGATGATGAACAAATTCGGTGGAACAAAATTGAGACAACGTTTCTTGAATCAATAGTACACATACTTGATGAAAAAGATCGTAGTGAATAACCAAACGATGTAAGAATGCACGTACTTCTTTCAATATGAGAAAATGGCACAATAACTGTACACGTGTATAAAAGACTACTTTATTATTTTCCTCTTTGTACTTTCGTTAGCTCGAATGAATATCAAAAAATAAAAGAAGAACAGAAAAGGGAAGAAAGACGTACAGAGAAAAACCAGACACAAATGGACGAAGCGATATGAAGGCATGTAGCTGACATGCCTGTATCAATGTGTAAGTACACACGTGAATGGAGAACAAAACAACGGCATAGAAAAAGAACAGAATTCTGTTTTCTTGCTCTTCCTACTTCTAGTTAGTAGTTCTTTGCAGACAGCATAAGAGAATAAAGTCAATACTGTCGCTTATTAAATTAAGCGCATGTTCATATACGACTCGTCTAAAAAACTAGGGTTCATTTTGGAAGCTCTCTTTCATCCAGTCTAGTATTAGGCAAGGAAGCTTGATATGTGTAGTTAGGAGTCTTTGTCAGAATTAAAAAAGTATGTTACATATGACCAGTGTGAAATGTAGTTCACGCAAAAAAACTGTAAGTCTGTGTTTCATATCGTTGTGAAAAAATCGGCATTTCATCATATTCCAATATAAATAATAGCACTGCTAGAGAGGATGTAAACTTTATATCTCAACAAGGAAGCCATAGAAACCCAAACCCTTTTGGAGGCTTTTCTAGTCTCACTAAGACCTACATATGGGCAAAATATCATGTCAAAAGCGGAGCTTCACTTGAGGACCTTCCCTCGTCAACGATCAATTCAAGTTTACTTCTTAGTTTTAAAATGTGTAAAAACCAGTGATTAACCCTTGACAATAGCCAGTAAATCGCACATAGAAAAAGAATAGTTGACAGTTAGTTGCGAAGAATACAATTTTCTTCTTTTCATATATGAAATATACCTTATAGGACTATTAAGCATATTAAGTAAATTGGTATTCATTCATTATTGAAATGAACACAATAGATAATATGTTAATAGATGTCTAGATAAAGATAAATATTTAGAAAGCTTTGCTTATGCATCTCTCTCAGATGATGTCTAAAACAATTTAAATTTAAATATCAATATTTCATGTTGTGTTTATATTTCAGGTAATAAACACCACTATTTATCGAAGTTTGCTATCCAACAAAAGCAACTGTCCTTATCCGAAACAAAATTGAGGAGAATCATGATTAAATGGCAAACATTGGCGATTTATCACGGTCAATCGAGTCAATAATTGATTCAGTAAGATCATCATATATCGCTGCTTTTTTTTTATCGATTTTCATCAGATGGATAGAATCAACACTCGAATAACTAACTATTATACGTTAATGACATATTTTGTCTATAATTACTAAAAGTAAATCAAGTTTTGTATGTAACGAGAAACAAATACATTTTAATCTAATCGAAATTTCTTAGTTAAGAAAAACAAACTTTTGTTTACAAATAATAAAAACAAATCTATGTGTCATTATTCATCTATTGTTTTATTGATAGATTTATTTACTTTATTCAACGTTCTTAATATTAACAATTCGGAATTCTTCAATATTTGCCTATTCTATTTATTGAAGAAAATTGACTAGAAATCATCAATAAATGATCTATAGTTTATAATTAGAACATTGAAATTATTATCGATATATATAATTGTGTTTTAAATGTTAATACTAAAAATATTGCTATGATTACATAGGTTTTATTTCATCAGCCTGACAAAAATTCCCTGAAAAACCGATATAAATTAGCCTCTCAGAAATAGATTAATTTGACAAACAAAGTTCTCTTTGAAAAAAATTTCATCGAATACAAAGAATATGGTTTATGTATTAATTCTTATAGAAACTACGAAAATGAATGATATTTAATTTCAAATAAACAAAATTGTTATCTTTTTTTTTGTTTATCAGATAGTTAAAAATTGGTTTAATGTGTAAATTCAATTGATATTAATAAGAAAATATTCATTTTCTTATTTTGCAAAAATAAATCTATGAAAGACAAAAATAGATATTCGAGTTTTATTTGATAAATGAATATTTGTCACTTTTAATTAATATACATAGGAGTTAATTTAGAGAACATAAATGCTGATTAAAGAAATAAAATGAAAGCAAAAATGAAGCATAGAATTAATCAGCAAAATATAATTTAAACTGAACGTAGAAATGTTCCAAATTCAAGTAGATCAATTCTTCCATCATGATTAAAATCAGCATAATCAAACATAACACCAGCTGGATCATATTGATTATATCTTCTAGCAACATTTGGTGCACCAATACCAACATCCGAACCAAGACCATATGTATGAGCTGTTTGTCGTGGATAAGCACCTCTTGTATATCTTTCATAATTTATTGGATTTTCTGTAAAACCAGCAAGAGCTACATCAAGACCAATTGGATATATTGTTGTTTGACCTCCATTGGATGCTTGTAACTATATTATTTAAATTTAGTTTTTTTTCGATATTATTAAAATAATAAAGAGAAAGTGAATACTTACATTAAGATTTTGAATATCTTGATAATTTATATTTGCAGATAATCTATTATAGTTTCTAACTGGTCCAAGAAATTGTCGAAATTCTTGTTCATCAATTGTCCCATCATGATTTAAATCAGCACGATTAAATTGATTTGCAATTATTTGTTGTTCACCCATTTTGTTTTAATGTATAAATGTTTGATATCGATTGATTACTTACTGAAGAAAATCTTCACTATATATATATAGGTTGCCTATGACGTGTATAGCTTCAATCAACCAGAATGAATATCGTCATTAATGCATATTTTACATTTTTTGATCGTGTGATCGATATATAATTATAATAAACACCCACAAGAATGCATGATATTCACATAGATTATTTTGTTCCTTTGTTTTTCTCTATTCAAATAATGACTCTTTTCTTCTTTTATTAATGGTTAGTCATCATTCATATTTATACTTATTAATTCAAATCACCTTGAATGCCACAATACATAGTTATTTACTTACTATAAAAAAAACAAAAAAATGAATCAAATGAATAAGAAAAATTACAAACAATACGATTATTATAATATGATATTATATGACTAATTTATTAAATATTTATTCAATAAATACTATAAGAAAAAGATTGTTGGTGCAACTTCTTTGTGACTGATATGCCGAACACATATGTCTTGATTAGATTGATTATATTAATAGAAAATCGTCAATTTGTAAAATCCGTAAAAAACGATTGTTATTTTTAGGGATGCCCTAATTTGTCATTTATATTGCTTATATTCGATTATTATTGTTCTTTTTTCGTATTTCTTTATTTAACTTTCTCATTATAATAAGCATTGATTTGAATAGTAAATGAGTCTCTTTTGATATATGCATTAGATATCAATCAACAGATTTTAACGCAGTATTATATATCTATATTAATTGATAAACACTCATATTTATTATATTCTAAAGTTCTAACTTAATAAATTCACGCTTTTTATGTGTATCATAGAAGAACTGTGTCAAATTAATCCATAACTATCCATTATGGTTGACATCTTAAATAGAAATGATTATTTGCACAAAAATGCCAAACTGCCTTATTTAGAACATGGGGAAAAGTTATTGAATTTTTAGGAAGATTCTTGAATATTATAGAGTCTTCCAAATCTTGCTATTAATGTTGTTGACCGAATTTTTATACTTGATATTGACTTTAAATCAAAAATATATCAATCATAAATATTGATCATTGCTCGAAATCATCGGCCTACTGGTCGAATTGAAAACAAAATAGTTTCAACATTAAGATTATCAAAAATATGATGATCAATTTCCACTGGTAATGTTTGAATTGATGGATTCATATTATTTGATATTGAAAATAGAAATAGTCTTTTTTTGGGAAATTTTCAAATTTACTTCTTACTAATATAAGCCATTGTAAATGTTATTGTCAGAAATCATTCATAAAGAATGTTCAGGTACAAATCGTATGTTTTTACTCTTCAATCTCATAGTGGATGATTTCTATAGAGTACATGAACATCGTTTATTATCTGTCAAAAACATATTTTTTAAATAGAAATATTGATTTTCAGTATTCAATAAAAAAGACTCATGGGAACAAAGTGAAGTTTGTAAAAGAACATTTTCGATAGAAAATACATGGTAGGATCTTCTTTACTTTAAACTTTGAAAGTCGAACATTTGCTCGTGAATGAGATGACTGCTTATTTATAAGTGATAGAATTGGGAAGAATATTAACAGAAATAATTAAAGAATGCGAGTGTGTTTAATTGCTTTGAATGTGGTTGGCAAGAAGACTAACTCGCACCCATATCCTTACCAGAAAAATTTTTATTTTAAAAGTGAACAAATGACACAACATTCGATGCATGTTTTTCATGTTGATTCCAAAGATATATTTAGAAAACCATGCACACTATTTCTAACAGCGAAACTGTTGTAGAGATGTACAGAGTACGGTAGGATAAAGATTAGAGATCTCTTCTTAATCAGGGAACAAAGCTTACCTTGAAAAACTAGTTAACACTACTTTGATCGCAAGATAAAAATGTCGAAAGAAAAACGAGGGATGAAAATATGGATGTAAGAGCGACAGAGTTTCTCCGTCCATGCGCTACCATTTTCAACATTTGTATCTTTTGACATCTTTATAACTTTTGTTTCCGATATTCTTATTTTCGAAATTTTCACTTTCGACCAAAGTCGGAAGAATCGAAAAACTGCGTAAGATAAGGTAAGGGTAGAGAAGTGTAGAGGTTTTGCAGGAAATAGTAGCGTAGAGTAGGGCATGGATGTAGGTGTGGATCTCGGTGGGCATAAGGACCACACCTATACCTGCACCCACATTCACACCAACACTCACACTTCTTTTTAAACGTAATTATTTAATTATTAAATGCATAAATGTATCAATATATGTTTTATTTATAAAAAAACTAACAATGATACAATATCGGAGTGTTGTTTGGAATCTCAACGATACGAAGTAAGCGAGAAGTTTTTATTTTCTTTCAATTTCTTATGGATGTGAAATGTTGATCGAAGATTCATTGTTTAAGTCATAGATGAATGTTATCAATACAGAAAAACATAACAGTCGTGCTTAATTTTATAAGAAAAAAAATCAGCAATGAAGTTTAATCTGTTTTAACCTTTCAAAGTTCTGAAACTACTTTGCTTCATATCGGAAAAATATCTTCCTACTTCAATTACGAATTGACACAAGACTGATATTTTTCAATTATTATAAGGAGATACAAATCAAGATTTGAAAATACAACTTCGTCGGACTCTAGCAAGATCAAAAATCCGAAAAATAAATGATAGAAATGTACAACTATGATAGTGATATATTTAATTGAAGAGATAATTAAATTCATACAGAAGAAAATATATTAATAGCCTCAACTATCACGAAAGATTGTTTGTCCTTTCATAGATTATGTGCTAAAAAGAATGAGTTTCTTAACTATTATTTTCATAATATAAAGGATTTTTCCAAGTTCAAGGTCAAATAAACACCAATGAAACAGTTTTTCGTGTCGTTCTTTTTTATTGAAGAACAAAGATGAAAAATGGATCTTCTAAAATATGCATGAAATACATAAATTATAGGATATCAGGAAAGTCATTGATCCCAAAAAACCACTGTATTATTGGACCGAATTTATACCAAATCCAGTAATTGCTTTTATCATAGAAGCAAGTTTCAAGTTCTTGTTCATAAATTAGAAACTGTGTTTGATACACTTGAAATCCAACATATCCTACTTCAATACAGAAGTTGGCCGTTTTTAGTAGTTATTTTCATAAGCAGTCAATAATAAGAAGCATAAATGTATCCAAAAACTTGCTAGAATATTTCATTTCATAGAACTTATTTCGCTAATCTTTTTCTAAAATAACTTTTTTTATTTTCATCAAAAGAATTATATTGGTAGGGTCAAATTATTCGAAAACGGCAAATCGTACTGAGGTTCTGAAGCAATGTGATGTTTTTAGTGATTGAACTTCAGTACTGTTATTTACCAATCAAAGTAGAAATATCTTTTTACAAAAGGGTGGGTGTGGGTATGCTTATCACTAACGAATCCACAGTCACACCCCACACCCACACCCGCATCCTTCCTATGTGAATACAGTCTATTTTCTCGAAGAAATTAAATCGTCAAGTAAAGGATTGAATTATTTATTGATTCATTCCTTTTCAACTTGGCATATGATAACATTTAAAAGAATAAGGCTATGAGTCGTATATGGTTTGATTGATTGCTTATACGATACAGACACTCAAGTCCATATCTACGTCAAACATTCATATAACAACAAGTGACACTCGTATTTATCGATAACAGCAATCTCTTTATTTATCTACATACAAATATTGACAAATATTGCGTTCAGACGCGCAGTTCTAAATCTTTCTTTTAATGTCGTTATCCCTCAATGGCAACTCCAATTACCATTTTATGTCGCATGGTCTCTTTTTGACCTACTTCGTTTGAAAATTTTTAAACACATTTTATTGAATAACAACAACTTTCGTCGATATTTACAGCACGACATATTACCAAGACGAATATTTCTCGTAGGTAAAAAATACACTATTTAAAGAGAAGAGATTTTTTTTAATAATTTCAAAATCATCTCTTTTGTTAGTCGTATATCTTAGAAACAGAGCAAGGATACAAAACATTTTTTTTCACCAATCGATAGCTTAAGGTGTTGTCTACACAAAATGTATAGAGTGTCTTTGATATCATGTGTCCGAAATTTTCTACAACATTTCTATAAACAACAAGTCTAGTTGTCAATGAAATGTAAAGAGTTAAAGAATTGCAGTGATCATCTTTAGATAGCCCTTGAAAAATTATATGGATTAACCATAATTTATTTTAAATTAACTTTTATTTGATAAAAAAGTCAAAATAAAATAATATTTCACCCCATCCACACCCACACCCCACACACAAGCTTGAAGGGCTGTGATCGCATGAGTATCGGTATTTAGTGGAAAATTGGCATACCCATAGGCAGCAGAACAATTCTAATCTAGGAGATGCTCAGCACTTTTCAGCTGGTGATATGGAGAAGATGGACAAACTTTGTGATCGTAATCCTTGTTAAAGCGATGCTCGTTATCCTAAAGTATTTTCAGCATAGTCTATTTTATATACATCTCTACACAAACAAATAATGCACTCTTGAATCTTTTTTAAACAATGTAGTGCTGGATTTGAAGTTTTGAAGGAATTTATTTTTTTGGATTTACTGAAGCCATTTAAACCATGAATATACCTATTTCACAGCGTCGGATACAATTCAACATACTACAAAAAGTCCATTGTCTGAAAAAACGAATCCTCAACTTCGGTTAGGCACTCATTTTACCTTGATTGCTTCCATTTGGCGATCAAATGAATATCAGTATTTATAGAAAAAACCAAAAAAACTGAGTTCTTAAAGCTATTGAGGAGTTTTCTACAAGAACTAAACCAAAACGTCCAGTTGACTTGTTCTAATGGATTGGTCGAAAAGTGAAAGAAATGTTGCCTCGAATGTTACTGCTTCTCAGTATAGTAAAGGTAAAAAAATATTTATAATAGATCAATTTCTCATATACCTTCGCACAAACAAATAACAGAAA